TCAACCTCCACATCTCCAACACCCTCTCTTGAAACCCTTGTTGGGCTTTGAGCACTATAACACTCCTATGGTGCACATGCAACCCTAAATGCTTTGGATCTATGTTTTCTCTAATTATACATGCATTTTCAATTTTCCAAAGCATTCTCCCTAGCTAGCATACAATTGAAGCTATACAACATAAACTTAATTTAGATGCTTACCTCTTGAGTAGGGTAGAGTTCTTGACCTTTGAAAGCTTAAGCACCTCAAGTGTGATGCCTCTAATGGTTCACAAACACCAAAATGCAAGAGGAGGTTTTAGGAGAATAAGATACTTGACTCCAAAGAGTGTGTAGCCGATTTTGGCTTATGGGGCACTATTTATAATGTGCCAAATACTAGGGTTACACTTTGTAAACCCTAATGCTCCATGACTTTTCACATTCTTATGCTCCATGGGTTAACCTCCATGGACTATCCATGGATTATCTTATTGGTTTAGCCCAACCATATAGTCATGGATCATTAGCCCACATTACAAGAATCATTGATTTACATAATCAATCTCCATATATTTAATTAGTCTCTTTTGATCACAAAATTAATTCCAAACTAATTCTTGATCAATACTAATTAAATAATATTAATATATTATACTTGTAATAAATCACAAATAACCTTATTCTCAAAAATCCTTCCTATCAAATTGCACTAGTGAAGGCAACCCAAAAAGGGACCATGCTACAATCGGGTCAAGTACATACCAGTTATATTTATGGGCTTAGCCACCAAATCCAACAACCCTAACCCTAGATTGAGCCTTGTGAGCAAGAAGAAGATTTTTTTAAGTGCTTTGGAGTGTTCTTGGTGCACCTTGGAGAAGAAGGAACTCATGGAAGAAGTGTTGGTAGATCCAGACTTTGTTTACCTTGATCTTCCTTCTAGAGGTATAAAGTTTGAATCTTGATGATGATATTGTTAGATCTAGCTAGTTTTGAGTGTTATGAGCTTTTGGTCACTTTAAGTGCATAAAGTTTAGATCTTGAAAGTTTGTAACCTTGTTATGGATAAAGTTGGAAACTTTATCCATCTAAACATCATTTTGATTCAGATCTGAAGATTAGAGACCTGGACTTAATGGATTAAGTTGAAAAGATACACTTTTTAGGTCCCTTTGAGACTTAAAGACTAGATCTTATTTGTTGGGACCATTCTAATGGATAAAATTGGAAACTTTATCCATTATGGAGCTATTATGAACCATAAAAATATGATCTTGAGTGTTGTATGTAACCCATGCATGTGTTAAAGGGTCTTATTGGGTTAAGATCATAGGGTTTTGGACATTAAGCACCTAATGGCCATGCAATACAATAAAGTTGGAAACTTTATGGTCAAGGACATCATTTTTGGGCTTGGATCTGGAAAATGGGCTTGAGCTTAAGGATTAAGATCTTAATGAGTTGGGTTGGTAGCCAGCTGGGTTGACTCGGTTGATTTTTTGTAATTTTGACTTTTACCTGATTTTGACCAAGTTTGACTTAGGGGTATTTTTGGATTGTGTTTGAGAATTGGTCATTTGGATGGATAGGTGATGGTTAGAGCTGAGATTCAGAGTCGGTACCTCATCAGCTATTGTTCAGAATGAGAGGTGAGTCTTCCTCACTGTACTTTCGGGTCGAAGGCACCAAGCTCGTCCCGTTGGATTGATATCCTGGTTTACCGTATGTTGCTATGCTGTAGTGTTCTATTAGATATGTATCCAAGTTTATAGGATGTTGCTATGGGGTAATGATCTGTAGATCTACCTGTTTTTCTGTTGGCTGATTATATGTTTATCTGTTTTGTATATGTCGACATATTTTGATTTGTGGTTGAGGCTTTACTTCTATGTGCGTGAGCCAACAGACCGGGGGCATTCCAACCCGATGGTTGATTGGGCCCGAGGGTATTCCATCCCGAGGATGAATGGACCCGTTGTATATTGGCATTCCAACCTGGGGTATTCCATCCCGAGGGTGACTGGACCCAGAGGTTAATGAGCATGGGGGACTCCATCCTGAGGACGACTGGACCCGTTGTATATTGGCATTCCAACCTGGGGTATTCCATCCCGAGGATGACTGGACCCGCAAGTTGACTGGACCTAGGGTATTCCAACCCGATGGTTGATTGGACCCAACATGCTTGTTTGTATATGTTATCTGTTTATGTGGTGGTACTTTGGGGGAACTCACTAAGCTTCGTGCTTATAGTTGTTATTATGGTTTCAGGTACTTCAGTTGATCGGGAAAAGCAAAGGCATGATTATGCACATCCTTCGGATTTTATGTTATTGGATTCCGGGATACTCTGATTTATGAATAATACTTTTGAACATTGGTTTTGTAAACACTTTATGGAAGAAATATGTTGTTTTGAAAAGTTTAAATTTATTATAATTTTTGAGACGTTACAGTTAAGTTAAAAAGATGTTAGATTTACCCTGTATTGTAAAGGTAATACATAGGCAGGAATTTTGGGATGATTATATTACAATATTGTTTAGTTATACCCTAAGACTTAAAAGAGATTCATAGTTTAATTAAGCTTGAATAATGGGTAACATCATATTAAGGGTATGTGTGAGATGGGAAAGGAGAGTAGAACTCTGTTCGATGATTTTTGATGATCGGTGGGGTGTGTTTCACGTACATTGGTGCTATATAAGTATCCACATCCTTTTTCCTTATTGATGACCGGTGAGGTACATTTCACGTACATGATTGCTATATCAGTATTCCCCTTTTTCTTTTGATGTGTTTCGTGTGTCATCATTTACGAAGTGATCGGACGAGCTTCATGTGCCAGTATTTCCAAAGTGATTGAATGAGCTTCATAGACTACCAGATAGGGTGTGCGTACATCAATACCACTGCTAGGTATGTTTGAGCCATCTAAACGGCCGGATAGTGTGCATCTTAGGGTAGAACTATGTTCAATAATACCTTGGGATCAGACCACTGCTAGACATGTCTAATTCATGTAGCGGAGTATAGATGACCATTCCCGACTTAATTGTCTTATGGTGCTAATGAACAGAGGTTCATTCGAGTACTCCATTCCTCTTATTTGTTGCCTTTCTTGATCATCGCCTTTTGCCAAGGAATCCCCAAAGCAGCATAGTCAACTCGTTGTTCACAGTGATCCTACTGTATAAATCTCGTAAGGTTTTTGTATAGGATCAATATGTGAGCATCAATGGGATTGGCTATATTGTCTTATAGATATTATATATTTGTGTTGATGATAACAATTTTTTTTGCAGGTTTGAGATATACAGTTTATTATCATTAAGTTATTGTGTGATTAAAAACCCTATGTATCTCACCAGGTTTCCCAATCGCCATACATTTTTAAACGCTAAAAGTGACAAAATAACAATACATTCAAAGGAATATGAGAAGACACACAGAATGCCTCGAAAACATTGAATTTCGAAACAACATTATGATATAATTATATCAAATGGATGCCACATAAACATAAGACCTTAAGAAAAAAAGAGTTGGGAGGAAGCCTTAACCCACAAACGAGATCCCTCAGATAAACCCCCACCTTACCTGCCAAAGGTTCAAAAATCGAGGTTGAAGGAGAAGGTAGTAACGCACCATACATATCAGAAAAATAACATCCATCGGCATATCGGTCTAAAGTAAAACTGTCAACGTTGGAAAGCACAGACCACATGTCAAGGGCAATGACAAAAAAAGATTTTTCAAAAAGCGGAAAGTACAAAACAAAGAAGGTTCCAAAATTTCCATATCCAATATATAAAGATAAAGATCGGTTAAACATTAATTAGGCAGTATAATCAACGACGGATGTGACTAACCGGTGGCTGACCGAATTTAATGAAAACTGCAACTAGCTCATGCGTGACACCTCCATTACCAGAAATGATCATAATCTAAACCGATGGATGTGACTAATCGGTGGCTGATTGGGGGACTTAATGGTGTGCCCAGGTCGGCCAAGAAAGTAAATACCGACATGGTACACTAAAACGCAACAACCAAGAGTAATCTTCACAAACGCAACAATTAACCACATGTTGATAGCAATATATGCTAGGCAAAAACCTCTGAACGAGCGTATGCCGAAAAAAGTGCAAGGTACATATATCCACAATAAACAAACATAAGAAAGTACAAAGCAAACAATTGTTCTTACCCATATTATATAAGGAACGGGTAAGAGGTTGATCCAACTTTTCCTAAGAAGCCTATAAAAGCGAGCTCAGCCAAAGGAAATGTAAGGTTTCTCTTCCTAACTAAGCAACATCGGGATAATACTAATTTAGGCATCAGAAAACAATATCGGGGCAACACCCCGATAATACTTCATGACCTAGTGTCCATCTATTTTGCAACGTGACTTCTCGCTTGAACCTTGGAAGATGGATTCCTCCAAGCGCTATCATACATTTGGGGGGCCACGTAGCATCAAGTATCAAGATAAAATATAATTCCTTAAATTCTAATCCATCATATTACACTTGTTTTGATGAATTCCAAAACCCTCCAAAAGAAGCTAACCAAATGCTCTCTCTTACACCCGTTCCCGAGTTGTAGCAAAGAAAAGAGGAGAAGAGAAAAAAAGGAAGGAGAGAAAAGAAAAAAAGAAAAGAAAAGAAACAAAATTCGTCTTTTGTGTTTCTGAGTTGGAGAGAAGTGGAAGAAAAATTAAACATTTTGTGCTTTCTCTCAAAATCCTTCCAAATCAGAAGGAAAGTTAGGAGGGAAAGTGATCAATCCAAACCTTTCTTTTAATGAAACACGGATACACCAATTTCTTTTACTTTCCTCGCACTTCCACCGATTTCATTTCTTTTCCATACATGAATATCAATTAAGTCCATTTTGATTTTTGACAAATTATAGAGCCCATTGCCTAATTACCATTCATGTTTTTGTAAGCTGACAAGTTGGTAAGTTTCGTGACCGTGGTTAACACTCAACACACGAAAAGCAAAGTAAAGACATTTGAAAACCATGAATGCATATGGGAAGAAAATGGTAGGTTTTGGTATTTCTAGGTATTATATTAGTTAAAATCAAATGTGTCTGGATCACCGATTGGAGATTTGCGAATCGCCATTTGTTGAAGCTTGAACATGGTCAAAGTTCAACCCACAAATTAATTAACCCACCATGCCAACAACTTCCTTCTGCCGTAACCCATCAAATCTTCAACTTTGCTTCCTCCTCACTTGAATGTTGTTGAAATTAGCAAGCACCCACTTGCCGATCGTTTCGCACAAATCGGAATTGGTTTACAATTCCTTAAACGTTTAATCTCGCTGAAGACATCTATATCGGTTTAGTGTTTTGATTCATTACATATAGGACAAATGAAGTCATCACTGGGGAAGCTCGGGCGGAAATTATCGTTACAGAAGAGCGATGTGAAGGAGGTGAGGGATCATCAGCCTTCCGCCCATATAGATGAGCTTGCTCAGGCTACCAAGGTAGGGTTTGTGCTCCTGGATGCTTTCTATCTATCGCTTCTGATTTTGAATCCATTAATGTGCGCTTATTTCTTATAAACTTCAACTCTCCAGTATAAATCAAACGTATCAGTTAGGGTTTGATGTCAATTAACCTCGCAGTACCTTTTTTTCCTCTTTGATTCGAACTATATCCCTGAAACCTGATTCGTACTGTATTACACTACTCTCAACAATTATACACTAAGAACACACAGTTCAACAGATTAAGAAGGGTCTTTTTTAGCTTTAAATCCCCAAGGTCCTCAATCTTGCAAATTAAATTTTTGAAGTTGCCATTGATGAGCAGAATCAATGCTGCTAGGAATCGCCCCAAAGAGGATATGCCATATGCTAGAACTCATGTTCTCTAGTGTTTTCCTTCTTCTATACTTATGTTTTCCTTTTTTTTTCCCAGGATATGCAAGATATGAGAAACTGCTATGATGGTTTATTATCTGCAGCGGCTGCAACAGCAAATAGTATATACGGTAAGAGTTTCACTTTCTTCTTATTGGTTTAATCAATCATCAAACAAAATAGAAGCTCTTAGGAGTTATTGATTGTTAACCTGTAATTATCCTTCTACAATATGTACTTCAAGACCAATAACCTGTAATACATTTACATAATTTGCACCAATACATAAAATGCTTTTGATTAATATAAACATGTAAATGTCTCCATGAATTCTTGTTTTTAGAATTTTCGGAGTCACTAAATGAAATGGGGAGCTGTTTGCTGGGGAAAACCGGTGCAGATGCTGATGATGAAAGTGGTAATTACTAATTACATTTTTGTCCTTTCGGAAGGTGTTGTGTATGAATTTTATTGACATATTTTCCTTCCATACAGGAAAAATGTTATCAACTTTAGGGGATATGCAATTGGAACTTCAGAAAATTGCTGATACTTATGTAAGCATGTTGTGTTAGGATTGTTTCTTTTTTTTACTTAATGGGTTAAGCACTTAATCCAGACAGCTAAACATGGTTGTTTCTTTTTGACTTAATCTAGGGAGAATGACTTAATGGGTTAACCAAAAAAACCTAGCTTAATGTATCAGGACACCAGTCATTTACTTATTTGTCCTTCTTTTTTCCAACTAACTTCTCTCTCGTTAAACTTGATGGATAGTGTAAAAATTGGGTAACATTGTCATTTTGTCTCATTTAGAAGGGTTATCTAGTCTAGAAAAGAAACAAACTTTATGTATATTATCTATTCAGCCACTTTACCCATACAGAACCTAATGGAGAAAACAAAAAGAAAGAAAAAGAAAAGGGCTTTTAACATAAAAGTCCTTAAGTTTGGCAAGTTTTGTCGCTTTAGTCCCTGTGACGCTTTTTTGTTCGTTAATGCCCAAAGTTTGACAAACTTAAGGACTTTCATGTCAAATTTGAAACACATACTTAGGATAAAAACATAAAAGATTTGTAACAAGAACAAAAATGAAAAAAACTTGGCAAATTTTGGACATTAACGAACAAAAAAATCATCACAGGGACAAAACCAACAAAACTTGACAAACTTAAGGACTTTTATGTCAAAAGCCCAAAAGAAAAAAAGAAAAAAGAAACAGCATTGTTACAATTAATGACTGATTCATCTTTCCATGTCAGCGATCTGATGTGGTTGTGACAATTACTAACCCATCAGAGTCTCTCCTTAGTGAGCTAAGGAAAGTGGAGGAAATGAAACTTCAATGTGATGAAAAAAGGTAAATTTTGCTTTTGGTCTTTTCTAAACATGGTTATTGGAGTTGACTTTTGTTGACCGGGTTCCAAAATCTACAGGGAGGTTTATGAATACATGATGGCACAACATAAAGAGAAGGGGAAACAGAGAAATGGAAAAGTTGAACAAAAATTAAGAGAAGCTCAAGAGGAATTTGATGAAGTGACTAGACTTTGTGTTTTTAGGGTGAAATCTCTTAAAGAAGGACAATGTCGAAGTCTTTTAACACAAGCTGCTCGCCATCATGCCGCACAGGTTACACTATTTCTGACCTTTTTGTTAGATATGTAAAAAATGGGCCTAGCCCAGATATGTTTGAAGCCCATTAGGCCCAATGGCTTTGTTTTTGGTCCAATTGTTTTTTTACAAAAGCCCAATTAGAAGTAGGATCTGTTAGGCCTAAAGGCAACTTGGGGATTGAGCCTTAGGTAGTGTTTCGTATGAAATTACTTTTCTTAATATAATCTTCAATAACAATAATATTTTTATGTACTTCAAAACTTTTTAAATTATTCTTTGCTATTTTCCAAAAATAACCAAAATCTTGTTTGTATTATAAATATAAATCTACTTTTTAATATTTCATGGTATTTAACTCATTATATTTGTAAAAACATTTTTTTTTTAAATGTTACATAAACTTTCTTTTGACTATGTGAAATACATATAGTATCTTAGTATATATTCAAAAGGACATGAACTATGTTCATATGCTGCAATTTAATCTAGCCATATATATCCTTAATTGGATAACGTTTATTATTATTATTATTTTTTTAAATAACGCTTTTTCGTTTGTAATTGTTGGAAGCAGTTGCATTTTTTTCGCAAGGGACTTAAAGTTCTAGAAGCAGTGGAACCTTCCATAAGAAATGTTGCAGAAAAACATCGAATTGATTACCAAATCACAGGAGGTGAAGGTGAACCAATGAGTGGAGGATATGAAAGCACAGATGATGGAGAATTGAGTTTTGATTATAACAAACAAAAGAAACAGCTGCTTGATGATGATGATGGCAGCTCCCCAAATCCAATGGAGGTATTTTATTATTATTATTTTTTGTCCTTAAATTAATTTTAATAATTTTATTTCCGTATAACGTGTGCTATTTTCCAGCTGGACCAAGTGGATGTTCCATATCTAGAAGATTCAGAAGTAAGGAAGTTATATATTTCTACTTTAATTCTCCTTGAAACATTTAATTTTTTTCCATTAAGAAGTTGGAATCTTTTAAAAGAAAATGAAATTTGAAGGAGTTAGAAGATTATAAATTACTTGAATTTTCCATCCCTTTGTATACTTCTGTTTGGAATGTCAACGATGACAAATTACAAAATTCCCTTTATTGTGTCGAAATTTATTTTAATATTTATAAACATATATAAATTGCACTTTTTACGACGGAAATCTTTTAATATTTTTAGGTGAAAGATAAATTACACACATATACGAAAGAAATACTAAACAATATATTACATAATTCAAAAATAAAAAGAAGGGTAAGTTACAATTTTCTTCCCTGTGGTTTGTTTATTTTGACGGATATGGTCCCTGGAAAGTATTTTTGTCACACCTTTGGTCCTTTGGGCATTAAATTCCTACAATTGACAATTTTTTCACACTTTCAGGGACCATATCCATAAAAACAACATACTACATAACTACAATGTTAATGATATGGTTTAGAGAGGGTATTTTAGTCATTCATACAAATGACAGACAGTGTTAATTAAATTATTTGAATTTATGAAAGAAAAGTCGAATTCCATCACTGGTAACATTCTATGAATTCCATACTCCTTTGCAACCAAAACTCCGGAACGGAATTGAATTCCAATTCCGGCTAATTCCTAATTCCATAGTCGTTTTTCTGCAGATTTATCGGAATAAACATAAAGGGGAGCAGCTTTTTGGAAGGCAAACTAGAGTAAGCAGCTATTCCGCCCCACTATTCCCAGATAAAATCGACACATCAGAAAAACCAAAAGGAACACAACCCCCAAGGAAATTTTACTCTTATGTCCTTCCTCCTCCCACTGTAGACACCCGGAATCTAATTTCAAAACCCTCCACCTCCTCCATTTCTCATTCCATTCCATTCCAGCCAATTCCAGTGGAAACCGATTCCAATTCCGGTTATTCCGCCACCCAACTACCCGCCCCAGCCCCTTCTACCGGAAGATTTTCAGACTCCCAAACCAAAGCCGAGGGTAACATAGTCAAAAGACAATCCTATTCTGGTCCATTACCGCCAAGTAAACAATTTTCATTCAAAATCGCGTCCACTAGCGGCCCGATTACCTCCGAGCTTCCACAACCGCCATCACGGATTCCGGTGTCTCAGCCGTCTCGGAGTGCCTCACCGCCGCCAATATCTTCGCCTAAAATAAGTGAGCTTCATGAGCTTCCAAGGCCGCCGAGTAATTTACCCTTTTCAAAGTCGGTTGTTATTTCTGGTATTAATTTGAGTAGACATTCGGCGCCTTTGTATTCGAAGAATCAAGAAATCTCTCCACCAAATAAACGGGCTATGCTAACATCAATTTCTGCATCTCCTCTTCCACTTCCACCTCAGGTTGTTCCTCGAAGCTTTTCCATACCCTCCAAGGGAAATGACGTAAATACCCTTGGGTAGAAACAAGAATAGCTTGTCTTTGAGTCGTTGCTCAAAACCCGTTTTGAGCATTCAGATTTGAAGCAGCTATCAAAGTAGGATAAAATAGGAGGGTATCATATCAACTATCAAGGGTAGTTTCCAAAATGAACGAGGGCATTTTCGGCATAAAATCAAAATCCCAAAAGTTAAGATTTGGATTTTGGTGTGGGATTTAGGGTTTTATGATTTGGTTCTTTGTGGATGCAGGTTGAGTTTAAAGCTGATTTCCCGAGTTATTCTTTGAGTAGAAAGGTCTGTAAGCTATAACATATAAATATTGTGGATTTTGGTCGTGAGAAATTTTTTTATTTAGTTCACACGTAGTCGTTTCATTTTTCATATCTAATATCTAACATCTAACAAAACATGATTCATGGCATTCCATATCGATTTTATATGTGAGTGATTTATAAGTGTTTGGTTATAGCCTTATAGGCTAATAACGACTTATAAACACGGTTTTAAGTTGATTAAGATGTTGCGTGGGGTTTGAGATCTTGACTCTATATTGTTAGACTATCTCCAACCATTAACATTATTTTTTTTACATTAGATTTATAATTATAATGTAAAAGATAGTGTAAACACTAAAGTCTCCCAACCTATTACACTATATTTAACATTAAAAGGAATATTCTAGGTAGTTGTTCTTTATTCAACACTATATATAGTGTTACATTAAAATCCAACACTATATATATATATATATATATATATATATATATATATATATATATAGTGTTATATTAAAATCCAATACTATTTATAGTGTTAGGTATAGTGTAGGGTTGGAACATTATAGTGTAAAAATGGTTTTTTATTGTAAGGTTGGAGATGCCCTTATGCTATGGGGGTGTTTGGAGGGGGCAAAAGTCATTTTTGGAAAAGTTACAAAAAGTTAGGTTTTCCTGACTTTTCCAAAAAGTTCATTTTTACTTGTATCCAAATCCAAAAGCAGCTTTTAAAATGCATTTGCCAAACATCTTTTACCTTCTATTTTTTCCTAAAAGGCTTTTTGGCCTCTAAAAAGCTAAGTCAAACACCCCCTATGTTGATGATTTGAATTTATAACCAAAACTTCTCAAAAGTTTTCTAAGATAATTAAAGGGTTATTGACATAGAAGCACAATAATGTTTTTCATTTGGTTTTAAAAGGTTTTTCAACTAATTTTCGTACCTCTGACCCAACTAAAGTGACAAATTACTTGTTATTTATACCATGCGAGCCAGTCACCCGATAATTAAATGTGACGTGACCTTTAGACTTCTGATTTTATCAATTAAATGAAATGTGACGTGACCTTTAGACTTCTGATTTATAAGTGTTTGGTTATAGCCTTATAGGCTAATAACGACTTATAAACACGGTTTTAAGTTGATTAAGATGTTGCGTGGGGTTTGAGATCTTGACTCTATATTGTTAGACTATTTCCAACCATTAACATTATTTTTTTTACATTAGATTTATAATTATAATGTAAAAGATAGTGTAAACACTAAAGTCTCCCAACCTATTACACTATATTTAACATTAAAAGGAATATTCTAGGTAGTTGTTCTTTATTCAACACTATATATAGTGTTACATTAAAATCCAACACTATATATATATATATATATATATATATATATATATATATATAGTGTTATATTAAAATCCAATACTATTTATAGTGTTAGGTATATTGTAGGGTTGAAACATTATAGTGTAAAAATGGTTTTTTATTGTAAGGTTGGAGATGCCCTTATGCTATGGGGGTGTTTGGAGGGGGCAAAAGTCATTTTTGGAAAAGTTACAAAAAGTTAGGTTTTCCTGACTTTTCCAAAAAGTTCATTTTTACTTGTATCCAAATCCAAAAGCAGCTTTTAAAATGCATTTGCCAAACATCTTTTACCTTCTATTTTTTTCTAAAAGGCCTTTTGGCCTCTAAAAAGCTAAGTCAAACACCCCCTATGTTGATGATTTGAATTTATAACCAAAACTTCTAAAAAGTTTTCTAAGATAATTAAAGGGTTATTGACATAGAAGCACAATAATGTTTTTCATTTGGTTTTAAAAGGTTTTTCAACTAATTTTCGTACCTCTGACCCAACTAAAGTGACAAATTACTTGTTATTTATACCATGCGAGCCAGTCACCCGATAATTAAATGTGACGTGACCTTTAGACTTCTGATTTTATCAATTAAATGACATGTCATCAATGACACGTCAATTTTGCCTTCGTATAACTGTTCAAAAAAAGGTTTTACTAGAGTCGTTTATCAAAATTGTGTTGAAGTGCTCAAGATTCTAGGGCTTTTCTCTCCTAGTTCATTAAGTTTTCTCTCATCTAGGGTTCCTTTGTACAGTTGAAAGTTCATGGCGAACCGAAGACCCTATTTTCTTGAAAGTGGATTTGCACTATAACGGTGTTTTTACGAGACACCTACATAGATATACTGGAGGTGATACGTTCATGTTTACTGATCATGATTTCTCTGGAATGGATTTACATGGGTGTTGTGAATTTCTAGAAAGGTTTGTCAGAGAACCTTTTGAGAAACTTTATTACTCAACACGTGATCAAACTATGGCAAATGCTCTTAGCGTAATAGCCAACGAAATGAAATATCAAAATTCTATCAATGTTGATTATCAAGCACCAGAAAGGCCAATAAACCTGTATTTAGATCATATTCGGGAAGGATTTGAGGATCGGTTTGATGAAGAAAGTGGTTCAGTGATCCAGGGGGTGACAAAGAACCTTCACAAGGAATCCCTGATCCTGAACCAGCCCATATGTTTGATGCTGGTTTGGAAGATGAAATCAATGGGGATTATTGTACCCTTCTAAACAAGACCAAGGACAATGAGTTTCTGAACAAGTTATGGCCAGAAGGTGGAGAAGAGAAAAATGTTGAGACCCAAATGGATAATGTTGAGGAATTGGACAATGATGTTCTTGAGGAACATCCTATCTTTAATCCTCAGGTACACTGTAAGAAGCAAGTACCAATTTTGGGCATGAGATTTGAGAATCCAAAACAACTTAAGAGCATGTTATGTAATTATGCTGTTAAGAATGGCTATCAACTATGGTTCGAAAAGAATGACAATAAGAGGCTTCTTGTGTTGTGTTGTAAAGGTGCTTGTACTTTTAGGCTGTGGGCAAGTTGGATGAGTACAGAACACAATTTTCAAATCAAATCTCTAAAAAGTAAGCATCAATGTGCTAGGAACTACAAAATGGGTTCAATTGTCAATTACCGATGGATTGGTAGCCACTACACCAAGGAGATTTTGCGTAGACAGAAACTGACAATTAGGCAACTAAGATTGGAGGTCATCAAGAAATTTGGTATTGAAGTCAGTATTAACCAATGCAGAAGGGCCAAACAGTATGCTATGAATATTATTGAAGGTACCTTGATTGAGCATTATGCTAAGCTCTGGTCTTATGGAGAGGAAATTAGAAGATCCAACCCTGGTTCAACAGTCAACATGGACGTACTTACAATGCCAGATGGAACTAATCACTTTAGTAAGTATTATGTTTGTTTTGATGGTGTGAAGAAGGGGTGGTTAGAAGGGTGCAAGAGGGTGATTGGAATTGATGGTTACTTCTTGAAAGGGTATGTTACTGGTGAGTTGCTATGTGCTGTGGGGAAAGATGCTAGGGACCAAATATACCCAATTTCTTGGGCAGTAGTATGTGTTGAAAACAAGGAAAACTGGAAATGGTTTCTGTCATTGTTAAGTGATGATCTCAATCTTGGTATGGGACAATGTTTCACTCTTATGTCAACCCAACACAAGGTAAGAAAAACATTTTATTACTTCTCTTTCACAAAGTATATCACCCAATTCATTTCTAACTACTTGTATGTTGGTATAGGGTCTTATGGAAGCTGTCAAAGAATTGTTACCCCGAGCTGAGCATAGGAAATGTGCAAGGCACATTGTGGCCAACTTCAGTAAAAAGTTTCCAGGGGCACAGTTTGTTAATTTGTTTTGGGTTGCATGCAATGCAACAAAAGAACAATATTTCAAGGAAATAATGAAGGATATTGAGCTTATGAGTCCAGAGGCAAGTAACTACTTGATAGAGAAGGACCCTAGAACATGGTCAAGAGCTTACTATCAAGTTGGTTGATGTTGTTCTAGTATGGAGAATGGAGGATGTGAAAGTTCAATACAGTCATAGTTGAAACCAAGAAGAAACCTATCATCACAATGCTTGAAGAATTGAGAATGTATATGATGAACAAATTGTTCACATCAAAACTTAATGGATGCTCAAGTGATGTTTCACCTGAAATAAGGCTGAGGTTGAATGAGTTAAAGGTTAATCAAAGGTTTTAGGAGGTATTGCCAAGTGGACTCAACCAGTTTAAGACTAGGTCAGGAAGTGAGGCATGTGAAGTTGATTTAGACAAGAGGACATGTTCATGCTGGATGTGGCAACTTAATGGTTATGGGTGTGTTCATTCTGTGACTGCCATTAGCTACCTTAATAGAGATGTGGAGAAATATGTGGATCCTTATTTTTGTAGAGCAATGTATATGAAGACCTACCAGTACAAAATTTGTCTAATGAATGGAAGCAAGATATGGCCTGGAACTAAAATGCTACGGCTCCCCCGTAGTCTTACAACACTTTCACCCTAACACAACCCGCATCCCAATGCCTTACCCCTAATTTATCAATTCGAATTGCACACAGAGTCGAGCACGCACTCAACCGAACACCCAAACTGAACTCAATTCATGACTGGAACCCCAACCTGGTTCCCCAAATTCTGCTACCAAGCACCCAGAAGACGTGATTCACATGTTGGGGAGTTTTACCGAACTCCCAACTCACACAATCCTCAAACCAAACAGGCACTTGGGCCGCCTTCCTCCTTAACGGGGATGCGAAACTCATCCTAGTTTCATAACCACTCCTGTTCCTGAATACCTGAACGATTCTCCCCCACTTCGATTCGATAAGTTCTCACGGCACACTAGAATTGAAGGATTTACCCAATCCTTCTTACCCCCTAATGGCCTGCTGACAACCCGCGCTTAGCAATGCTATTGTTCCATCACTAACCATCCCAAAAGACTGCACAGTCCCCGAAGATCTGCTAAAAACTTCCTGAAGCCCAACAACACTATTGATCCCATATACTTTAGATGATACTACACCCAACACTTGCAACCCTCAGAGTTGATGCCCAAAATAAAACCTCAACAATGGACCACCTCCCTAGTTGCACCTAAACGCCAATCAACATGACTGGAAAAACTACTGAATCCTAACGATACGAGAGTGTTAACCCGCTAAATCCTGACCATAAACCCTCCA